CCATGAGAGTAGAACATATTCGCTTCAAACCCCAAAGTGCCTGCATCCACGAAGGACAGGTGGAAGACTTTGTGTTTTAAGCACAATAGTCTCCATGAAGCTCCAACTGGCCTGGAACTTGCTATGTAGCCTGGACTGGCCTCTGTCTCCCAGTGAGCCACCTGCCTCTGCCTCTCAAGTGCTGGAATTAAAGGTGTGTGCCACCACACCCGACACTTTTTTTTGGGGGGGCGGTGTTTGTTTTTAAAATAAGATCTCATTATTAGCCCTGGTTAACCTAGTAATTGCTATGTAGACTAGACTGACCTCAAAGTCACAGAAGTCTGCCTGCCTCTGCTTTTCAAGTGTTTCAAATGTTAGCACTACTAAGAGTATGTAAGGAAGAGAGGGTCCTGCCTGTTATATTTATTCACTTATCTGATCCTTGTATAACATCTGGCCCATAGTAGGTATCAATATATTTTAAATATATTTGGATGAATAGACAGATGGACACATAGGCCAAAATGAAAGTCCTTTAGATTATACCCAGAAAACTTACCTCCTATGCCCCTCTCTCAGGAAATATACCTGCATCTACCATGTTGTCTCCACATACAACCTTGGCTGTCATTTTAACTACCTCTTCTTCCTCACAACCAGCCAGCCCTGCAAATTCCACCTCCTAAACATTAGCCTGTGACTCTCCATGAGCATTCCTTTACTATCTTTGTTCAGACCCTTCCCAATTCTCTCCTAGATCCCTATATCACAGTCAAACTCTTCTCCAAGCCACCAGCCTGTATTACCCCTTCCAATCCACACTCTTCACCCAGGAACAGAAGGATCATTGAAAGACACAAATTGAGGGGCTAGGAAGATAGCTCAGAGGACCTGGGTTCAGATCCCCAGCACTCACATAAAAAGTTAATAATTCTCACACAGGGGAGGAAGAGACTGGCAATCCTTGGAGCTGACTAGCCAGTCAGTTCAGCCAAATTGGCAAGTTCTAGACTCAGTGAAGACTTTGCCTCAAAACATAAGGTGGAGAGCAATTGAGGAAGACATCCAACATGGACCTCTGGCTTACAGAGATGCACACGCACACACGCACACAAGCACCTGCACTCACAAATGCACCCACCCACATGTATATACACCACCCACATCAAAACCCCACAAGTGATCAATCAGGTCACTACAGCACCATCCTGTCCTCACTTCCACCTAAGGATGGTTTGTGACTCCCTATAGACTTCAAGATCAAACCCAAACACTGTGGCACATCCAACATTCAAAATCCTGTCCAACCCACCTCTGTGTCTGTGGCTCCCTCCCCCTGGGGTTCTGGGTCTCCTTCAGCCTGCCCCATTAGCTAGGGCTATGGTGTATCCTCACCAAAACTTCCGCTGTAACAAGACTGAGGGGCCGCAGAACCTTGAGAAGACCTTCAGGTAATAAGGGACCTGCCTTCAGGAAGGATCAGTATAGCTTATACAAGAATGGGTTAGTTCTGCTGAGTAGGTTGTTACAAAGCAAATTCAGCTTCCTCAATTTACTCTTGCTTCCTCTCTCCAACATGTGCTCCTTCCACACTCACCCATTTCTCCTTTTTTGCTTCTCAGCCATCCTGTGGCACAGCATGAGGCCCTCACTAGAAGCTGAGCCAGTGCCATGCTCTTAGACCTCCAGTTAAAGAAACCTATTTTCTTTAGAAGTTACCCAACTCCAAGTATTTTGTTACAGAAATGGAAATTAGACTAAGATGCCTGGGCTTCTTCCTCTGCCTGAAATTTGCTTCTTTGGACAGTCTTCTGAACTCAGCCCTGGTGTCATCCCATCCCAGGATACTTACTCCAACTCCCTCTGACTCCACTAAGAACTGGGTGTCTCTCCTATGTACCTTGGTGCTTAGTGCTTAGTCCAGCACAAAACAGTCTGCTTCCTTGTCTTCTTTACCAGGTACCTGGTTTGTGAAACACTGTGTTTTGTTCTTTGGTGAATCTCACATGCTCCTATAGTCACTGACACAATGGATATGTATTACATTTATATTTCTGACATGGTTTTGTATTTATAATATTATTTGCAGGAGGGAGGTGCACACATACCACAGTGCATGTGTGGAAGGCAGAGAACAGCTTTTAGGCATTGGTTCTCTCCTTCCACCATGTGGGTCCCAGGGATCAAACTCAGGCTTAGTGGCAAGTGCTATTACCCACTGAGCCATCTTGCTGGCCCTACATTAACAGTTTGTTTCATATTACACATGTGGTTCAGCTTCTCAGAAGCATACCTGTAATCAATCACATCCCATTTTTAGCCAATGTGACCAGTCCAAATAATGAACTAAGGATTGAGACATGGTCGGACTCTGGAAAAAAAACAAATTAGATAGATATGAAGGGAACACATTTTTTAGCCAAAAATCAAAACATATGATCTAACAACTATGACTGCATTTTTTCCTTCCAGAGAATACAACTATATAAATACTACAATTCTATAACCAGCTCTGCCATTTTTGACCTACTGTGTTATCCAAATATGCCAGCTTATGACTGTTAAGTAGCAACAGGTAACAGCACAGCTGATGCGCTCGGTGAGCCCTGGCCACGTGTGATCGATCAGTTTTGCCATCATCTCATTCAGTCTTCTCAAGCTTCCTTTGAAGCAGATCTTTTTCATTAGCACTGTTTTGAAGATGAGGAAACTGAGATTCAAAAAGATTAAACAACTTGCCAAAGATTACCCAGCCATCAGGGGATGGGTATTCGACTTGATCCACTGTCATTCTGTGGTATTGACCTAGTCATGACCTCTTAACCTCATTAAATCATCAAAAGAGCTACTTTGGGGCAAAAATAGCTATGGCTTCCGGAAATTTTTATTAAAACTCTAAATCTCCTGGCAATAACTTTCAAAAGTCATGATTCAGACCAAACAGTGATACTTGAAAATGGAATCAGAGTGCAGGTCTCCTGGCTACAGAAATTCTCTTCCTGCAAGAAAGGAACGCTCCACCTGGGTGCTTAGCACAAACTGTTTTTTCCCGTTACTTGGTCTCTTGCCATCACTGCCAGTTGAAAGGCACTGACTGCTATTCTATTCCCCTGAAGAATCCTTTCCCTCAGGTCTCACTAGTTCTGTATTTGTCCATGGTTTTCATTGCACTAGGGTCTGGAAAAATGTTTCTCAAAGTCCTGTCCACAGGTCATTTGCATAACTACCTGGACACTCATAAACACACACACTCCTGGGCACCGTCCACAGCTGCCAGAGTCCCCAGAGATCACAGCACTGGGGGCAGCCTGTTAATCCTGTCCCCCAGGTGATTCTGCTTAATACTAATGTATGAGAACTAGAGGTGGAGACCAGAACCTACAACCAGCCTTGGCAGCTTAGTAGAAAATGAGCAGTCTGGGGCTCCAACCCTGAACTGCTAAATCAGAATCTTAATTTGAAAAAATCAAAAATCCTCAGGTGATTTGCATACATACATCTCTGTATGAAAAACCAATCATGTGCACCTCCTCCTGATTGTTTCTTCCCATTGTAGCGGGCAAAGAAAACGAAAGTAATTACTTGACACTGGGAATACAGGTGAGAAGGCTTGCTGGAACAAAGGGCTCAACCTCCCCCAGACCTCACCTGCCACCATGAAAGCTGTAGAGTGGCAGCTCTGGCACGGTGCAGTGGCACACAGCTGGCAAGCACAGTCTAAAGTATGGCCCACCCTTCTGACAGTTTTCATGAGGCACAATGCCTTACTCATCTTTCATCATTTATGTTCATGCATACCAAGAGTCAGAAAGCCAACTGCCCAACAAGTTAGAACTCGGAACTCTTTAGACAACGGAAGAGTGTAGTCTTGTATTCAAGTCCCAGAGAGACTGCTGGAGAAGGTTGTTTCTGATGAGTCATCCACTGTGACCCAAGGATCCCCAAGAGACAAGAGCTTCCTGTCTCCCTGGTCCACAGAGCTGACAGCCGATTAGAAACAGTCAAGGTGGCTTCCTCTGTCTTGAGTGCCAAGAAGAATGTGATTCTGTTTAATCCTTCCTTAGCAAAATCTGTCAGCTTGTAAACTGAGCAGGTGTTTCCTCTCTTGGCTAGTCCCTGATAATGGGGTGACAGTTGAGGTGGAAGGAATGGAATACCTTCAGGAACACTTCCTGGTGAGACCATCTGATCAAACCACCAGGTGTCAGGTATACCATCTGACTTAGCAAAGCCCCCAGCTACAGAGCAGCCTAGTTGATTTTGCTCCTCTCTCTCCCCTAAAGGAAATATTGAAAAATTGTAAAGCTCAAAATGGTGAGCTCCTACTTTGGAGCAAATCCTCTCTAAATGAAGGGTCATTGTAGCCTAATCAAATACAACCGGGAGGGACAGTGACTATTGCTTCCAAACAACTATCTTTATCTTTTCTCTTTCCAACTTGCCTATAAATCTGTACTAATTCTGTTGCCCTCCTTCCCCCAATCAGAGCATAGACAAAGCAGCCTGCATTTTGACCGGGTTAAGATAGAGCATCCCTCTAGCCTTGAGTGCACATCTCCTAAGTCTCAAAGGCTATATGATCACCACTTTGTACCCTAACCATACCCTCAAAGGAATCATTACCCATAGTCCCTCTGCAACAGTAAAATAGTAGTAGTTAATAGCAAAAAGCACAGCAACCAGAGCATGCTGTCCATTTGCTACCTTTGGCTGATTTTCCATGGAACATTCCTTGATGCAGCTCGAGGGTGGCAGACCTTTCTCCTGCTCTAGCCAGTAACTTCAGAGTCTAATGAGTAGCTTACCCAGAATCCATGATGTCCAAGACATGGGGAGATTTTCTCTAAGTTTCTAATGAAAGCTATTGGTAAAAATTTCTGTTCTTTGATCATCTAACAAGTTCTGAATGTAAGATTAGGGAATGCTGGGACTTGGGTCTCCTGGGTCAAACAGCAGAGTATTTCACATGAGCATTTCAAGTTCAGAATATTGAACTATCTCTCTGCTTCATGGTCCAGGATGAAGAACAAGCTGTGGTATTTTGAATTTGGTACCTCGGAGACCTTTGCAGCCACTTGCAAGAAACTCCATGACCACATAGAGTTGGAGGTAAGCTCCCATGTGGGGAGGCTCCTTGAACCTTTTTTCAGTTCCTGGAGCATCACATCTTCACCCTCAGGACATAACCTTATGGGTCTTGCAGAAATGATACAGAGTATAGCCTATTTCTCATACCCTCATCCTGTCCCCCCAAAACCTACACAACCTCACTCATAGATTGGGCTACTCTTTCTTGGCCTGTATAGTTGAATCCCTGGGTCTCTGACCCTTGGCAGTGCTTCCTCTTCCCCACTCAGAGATAAGGATGGTTACCACCAAACAGCTGGGGCTGCTGCTGGCCATGGAGCTGCAGGGGTGATGCTTGCCAGCTGAGAGTTGACCAGGGCATCCTCCAGCTCACCTGCCTTACCAAGGTAACTCCGTGCTCAGGACCAGCTTTGTGAGTGCAGCCTGAAGAGTCACAAGCACCTGTGAGCAGAAGGGCCCTTCTGCCACCATCTTGACATTTTGAACAATTTTTTGACAAAGAGCTATGCATGTTCACGTTGAACTGGGATCCACAAATTATGCAGCTCATCCTGTTGGTGCACTGTGTTTTCCTAAGTCTTGCAGCACTTGTAGCAGCCTGTCTCGGACAGTTTGCCTGTTGGCCCTGGTTGATGAGCTGCCTGCTTCCTTCCTGCCCCACTTCTGTAGCACTGCTCTCCTGAAGTCCTCTCACTGGCTGCTAGGAGCCTGTCTCTGGACTCTTGAAAGGCTGTTATTTCTAGGTACATTTGCTCTGTCTTCACTTGAAGGAGCTCAGGCCCACAGGTTTTTAGCTACCAACCCTACCTTCTCCTGGGATTCAGATCTTATAGTCCAGTTTCCACTTGAGAAAAAAAATTCAGCCAGGCAGGACGCTGCCCCCCAGCCCTGGTCCCCAGCATGGTCTAGAAGCCTCTGCGAGCAGCGAATAGACTGATGGGACCTGGCCACACCTTCTGTAGCAGCTTTAAGCCTGTGGCAGAGTGGGAAGGCCCTGCCACTCCCTGCTGGGAGGGAGGCTGTGCCCATGCTGCCAGGGAGTTTTCACAAATAAAACCTAAAACCAGAGGTTCTGTACATATAGATCTGTTTGACCCATCTGCATGCCCTTCCCCTTTGGTACCTGGGTTACTAAAATCAGGGGGAGGCATCAATCCTTGGTTAGTCTTTGGTCCTTTCTGCCGAAAGGTACAAAGGCCCAAGGGCTGAGGCCACCTACACCTGGGAGAGGCTGAGGAGTCAGCCTCCTCGTTTATGCATAAACGTACCAGGAACTGTGTCTTAAGGAGCCTGGCAGGAGGACTGAGTGTGGCAAACAGATCTGCGAGCATTTTTCCTCTTGGCACCATCCTCTGGCAGGGTCTCTTTAAATATACCACAAGTGAGGGACAGCCCTGTCTAACCACAGCCAGCTGCAGGCACACAGCGACTGCTTGTTCTCCCTGCAGCTGGCCTTGACATTGTGCCCAGAATACAGCAGCTCAGCTCCCCTGCTCTGTGGCCCGCCCTGCTGGCTCCAGACTGGCTATGCCCCACAGTCCCCTGGAGTCCAAGATACAAACAGCACTTCCTCAACCACACAGGGAGCTGGAGCCTAGTGGTGCTTCTAGAGGGGCAAGTTGGAAGCTTTTAGAAGTACTTCCTGTTTCTTATCTCCCAATAATAACTCTTTTCAGAATTTATTCATGGATAAGCTTTGAGAGCTTGTTATCATGTGACATTGCTGCTGACGGTCAAGAGGTTTGGGAGAGGCAGGGTTTCTGCATCCCGAGGACCATGGGGGATGGTCCCAAGAAGTGTGATCCAGAGGGAGACTGAAAGACAGAGGGACAAGGCAGGTGAGTGGCAGGTGTAATCTTGACCACAGAACAGGGAAGGAGGCCTCAGGGCAGAAACAGGTAGATTTGACGGCAACAGGGTCTCAGGAAGAGTCAGGAGGAGAGGCCCAGAAGCCCCTTCAAAATGTGCTTGCTACATGCAACAGTGAGGCCTGTGAGGACAGCACAGGGCTCACCTACCTGTGACATCCCAGGCAGGTACCACTACACGTCACTGTTTGCTAAGCCACAATAGCTACCCTAAGAAGGTGAGGGACTGTCATCTCTGCTTATGGAAAAGCAAGCTGAGGCATGGAGAGTTAGAAGGGTTAATAGAAGGAAGGGAAAGAAAAGTTAAAAAGGAACAGAAAAAGTCAATATTTCGACTGCCTGCAGTAACATGTCCGTGCTTATGGAAAAGCAAGCTGAGGCATGGAGAGTTAGAAGGGTTAATAGAAGAGTTAAAAAGGAACAGAAAAAGTCAATATTTCGACTGCCTGCTGTAACATGTCCATGTGATACAACAACCCAAGGAGGCACATACTGTCATGGTTTAAAATGAGGCTCAGATAGTAAGTTGACCAAGACTTCTTATGCCTCTGTGTGTGTCAATTTACGTGTGTGTGTGTGTGTGTGTGTGTGTGTGTGAAAGAGAGAGAGAGAGAGAGAGAGACCCTGCTATTCTCTCTCATTTCAAGCAGCCCTGCCCCTCTGCTGAGAAACACTGGTCACAGTCCTAATACCCATTTGAGGAAGGAATGAGTGATTCAGTACAAGACTAACAGAAAAACTGCCCCAGTATTTACAAAAGTTTTTCTCATACAGCATCTCATTTAATCTTAACTCAAAGAATATGCAGAGTGGTTATTTATGTCCTCAATTAATGGATGAGGAAACTTGGGGCAGCTGGTGGGTTCAGTGACCTAAAGGGGAAAAAAAAAAAAAGGCTCAGCTATGAAGAACATAGGGGGAACAAGTAGTACAGTCTATTTAGAAAAGCCCAGTGGTGAGGATGAGGGAGATGGCTCAGCTGGTAAAGGGCTTGCTATGCAAGCGTGAGGACTGGTCAGTGGGCAGTGGTAACCTGACATCCCAGCTCTGGGGAGACAGAGACAGGAGGATCCCTGGGGCTTGCTGGACAGCCAGTGTAGCTGAATCCATGAGCTCCAGGTTCAGTGAGAGACTCTTTCAAAAAATAAGGCAAAGAGTGATTGAGTAAGAACCCAACAATGACCTCTGACCTCCATGTATACATACACACGTGTACATACATGCACACAACTACATGTACACCAAGTTGTATGGGTAAGTTAAAAAGGCAAGGTCTCCTTTAAAGGCCATACACAGGCTTACAGCCTCTTTCTCTGAGGCTAGTCGCTAGTTGAGAAAGAATAAGAAACTTGGTCCCATCTCTGAAGTAAGGCCCATAGCTCAGGTGACAAGAGAGAATAGTCACAGACATACAAGGCTTGTTCATAAAGTGCTTGCTCACTTAGCTACCTGCTAGAAACCAGATGCAGAGTCTCAGGGAGCCACAAGAGTCAAATCACAGTGGACCTTGTTTTAGGAGCCCAGCCTGGGACCTTTGGCAAGGGAGAGGTGACCCCAGATGCACTGCTCACCTGCAGACACTCAGCCAGCACTGGAATAGTGAGGAGCCTGGGCTGAGACTCATGGGCACCTGTTACCTGTGTTTTGCTGTTGAGCTCAACCTAGCTGTGCCTCTGACTTTTCATCTATAAAATGGGATTGGGGGTTTTTGATATTTAACTGGCAGTGGTGCTAAGTCTCACAGAATCTGCAAAGCAGCCCTAAGTGACAACTGTCCTAATTACCTTTTTAGAGCAGGAGAACAGACTGAGAGAAGGAACGAAGTTCACCTGAGGTCCTCACCGTGGAAGTCCTGACCTGGGTCAGGTGTCTCTCAGGCTGACGGTGCATGCTGTCTGCTGATTATTCACTATTTCATCCATTTTGATATTTCAGATACAATTAAAAACAGGCATGAAATGTTTGTGCTTATCAAGAACAGGACACAAAAATATATTGTAAGTACTTGCCAGAGGCGCTTCCTCTATGGGAGTGCAGAGGACCTTAACACCTGAACAGGGTGCTCAGTACTTTGTCACTTGCTCGTCACTGAAACCCCACTCACTGTGCCGTCCCTGTCTGAGACCATCCCTGAAGACTAGCTTCCAAAGAGGCCCTTTATAATTACTCTAACCTGATTTCACCTGAATAAACGGGGTTGGGGGGGGGTGGAGTGAGGGAGGCTCAGTGAGTCACCACCCCCAGAATAACCTTGCAAAGAATGTTAGAGGTATTCATAGCTAGGTAGAGCATTACAGGCAGGCTTCAACTGGAGTACTCATTTTATATTCTGTGGAAATATTTCATTTTCCTTTTTTTTTTTTGGTCTTTTTGAGACAGGGTCTCCCTGTAGCCCCAGCTGTCCTGGAACTCACTATGTAGATCAGGCTGGCCTTGAACTCACAGTGATCCGCCTGCCTCTGCCTCCCAAGTGCTGGGATTAAAGGCGTGTGCCACCACGCCCAGCTTCATTTTCCATTAAAAAAAAAAGAAATCTCCCCAATTCTTTGATATTTAATTTCATCATTAAAATAGAGCTCACAAGAAAAGGCTAGTCAACTCTTCAAATATGAGCTTCAGTGGGGAAACAGGTCCAAATCTAAAAGCTACTGAGAACACTCCCATCCAGTGTATTTGGGGGCTCTGCACAGCAATTACTCCCTAAACTAGAGTTACCCCCAGTAGGTTCATTGAGGATTTTTTAAAAATACAGAAAAGTAATGAAGACTGTATCTCTATTTCTCTCTCACTCAGAATCAATTATCAATATTGTATCATTTCCTTTGAACATTTTCAATCAAAGAAATAAAATAATACAGATAAAACTGAAGCCCCATAGTTCCTTCCTGCCTACATTTTTGGGGCTATTTTTTGTTTGTTTGTTTGGCTGGTTTTTGATACAGTCTTGCTATGTATTCAGGCTGGCTTTGAAACCACAATTCTCCTGCCTCAGCCCTATCCCCTATACCACCATTCTGAGATTACAGGCATGTGCCACCATATCCCACAAGTTCCTCACTTTAACTTCTCTCAGGAGATGCAGACAAAGGGATTGAGACACCACCAGTGGCAATACAAGTGACGGACACAGCAAGCTGAAAATGTATTTATGGA